GTACTAGGGGACTGGAACTGGACGATCTCTCTCTTGGTCCCAGAAATGGAAGTCACCTCCTGAGTTCCAGGAACTTGTACCACCTCCTCGGTTTCAGAGGGATGGATTGCAGCGGCCCAGGCTAGAGTGAGAGCCCCCGCTCTGCTGCCCAGGGCTTAGGCTGTGAAGCTGTTCGCCCATCGGGCCTCAAGGACAGAACATTAAGCCCAAGTAGAATCTTTTCCATCCTTAGAATCTAACGGAATTTGCTCCACCAGGTTTCAAACTTGCTAAGGATGCATGAACTCCAGTAGTTTTTCTGATTTCCTGCTTTTGGTATGATAAGCCCTATCCGGTACCAGTCCCATAACTGTATTTCAGAAGCGGATAACCTGTCTAGTTTCACAGGTGCAGTGGTGGAGAGAAATCCTGCCTCAGCATGAGTCAGACCTGGAGACTCACCCATTCCAGATATAGAGTTTTAGGTGAGCTGTTGGATAATTGATTTTGGAGTGAGCTAAGATTTGGGGGATGTTGTGATGACATTCTGTGACCTCATTTGGAGAGAGGCTCTACACAGGTCATCTGGTTAAAGTGAAGTTATGAGGGTCGACCTTACCCAACAGGATTGTTCTTCCTACAAAAAGGTGACAATTGGCATCCAGAACTGTGAGATTAAAAATAAATAGTGTTTAAGTCAGCCGGTCTATGGAATATTTTTGCAGTGTCCCTAGAATACAAATAGAATACACCTCCATCAACAGCATTAAAAGCATACCACCAACGGAAGGACCAAAGAAGCACAACCACGTAATCACAGGTTTCCCCTTGAACTCCCACGGAACACCTCTGGACGACTAACTCTTACTAGTTCGGATCAGGAAAACTGGTCACATTTTGGGCTGTGGCTCCTGGGCTGGACGTGCCTCACCGGCTTACATGAATCTGTGTGAAGCTTGTGCTGCTCCATCCGACAACAGTCCACCATCCCCATGACGCACAGAGGCCAGTGATGACGGTTTCCAAAAACAAAAGATTCTAGCCTGAAGAAGAGCGGAATGAGATAAATCTAAACAAATGAGATTCCATTTCTAGGGAGCGTAGAATAGGAATTGTTCTTTAAACTTGTTGATGCCGTTTTCTCTGTACTGTGTTTGGGTCATTGCTTATGTTCTGAAGTGAACTCCATGTACAGGGAATGCTGACAAAAAGATTGATTGGACTATGTTTGTCTTATTCATATTACTTTCCCTACATTGATGCTTCTTATTTGTTGTTTAGACAGTATAGCTGTTTCCCTTAGTTTTTGCATTCAGTAAACCACAGCATGACATCACGATTGCACTCTAGGTTCCCCTTCTCCTCAATCACGCACTGAAATGCTATATCAAATGTTCAGATGCTTCTTCCCATCTTCACATCAAAACATCCTTTTTCCTTTTTCTTCCTATGATTCACTGGTATCAGTCCCCTTGAAATCTCACTCTTCCCACCCCAAGCCCAGTTAGAGTTCATAGTTAACTCTGCTTCAAATGTGCCTCTTTGATTTCTGAATTTGCAAGTAAAACACACACAGTCCGTGGTAAAATATCCGAAGGGGGTTGATTTCTCAGAAAGTCATGTCAAATTACCCAGTAGATATGCAAGGATGCATTCAGAAATTTATGCCTGTGTCCTATTTGACAGAAACACTGGCATTTTAAAGCAATACAATTAGCATAACGAGAATTAAGTCACTGAGTGAAATGTGGTGTTGTGGAGCAGGTACACAACTCTGTCATCAGAAAGGAACAGCGTTCTCCAAAGCGTGTTTGGTTTTTAAAGTGTTGTTCCAGACAGCACAGGAACGAGCCAAATGGAATTTCCAGGAAGCATCTCGCTATTCCAGGTCCTTGAGCTCTGAAATTACTCTTCCAATTCCTTCAGATTTACCCAGTTCTATTCCTTTTTTTGTCCATAACCTCCTGTTTCTTTAAAACACAAACTTTACGCATCATCGGATGATGGGAGTGTCCAAAGAGGATGTCAAGCCCCAGTCTCCACTCATTTCACCACAGAGGAACCTGCAGCCCATGAGCCACAGCCATTGGCACAAGCGGGGAAGATGACTGGGACTGAAACCGTATGTGTGTTCCTTGGTGTTTCCCTATTACATGGAAGAGGGGCAGAGAATGATTTTTGCCTGCTCTGTGACTTTTTGCACACTTGCTTTCAAAGGTAGTGAATTGGAGATGTAAATCTGTAGCTGGTAGTGAGGCATGTCTCTTGCCCCTTGCAATAACTAAGAAAAAGATGATGAGGCACTAAGAGAACTAAGATGATTCCTCCTTTCTCCTCCTGTGATGTCACTGTTAATATTAACATGAATGTTAATAAGTTCTATTATAAAGATGCGTGCACACGTATGTTCACTGCTCCACTATTCACAATAGCAAGGATAAGTAATCAACCCAAATGCCCTTCAATGATAGGCTGGATAAATAAAATGTGGTACACATACACCATGGAGTACTATGCCTCCATGAAAAAGAACAACATCATGTCGTTTGCAGGGACTCGGATGGAGCTGGAGGCCATTATCTTTAGCAAACAAATGGAGGATCACAAATATGGTTTGGTTCTGTGTCCCCCACTCCAGTCTCACCTTGAACTGTAATTCCCATAATCCCCCAGCGGGACAACGTGGAGGTGACAGAATCGTGGGGGCGGTTCTCCCACGCTGTTCTTGTGATAGTGAGTTCTCACGAGATCTGATGATTTTAGAAGGGGCTTCCCCCTTCACTCTGCACTTTTTCTCCTTCCTGACACCACGTGAAGAACGACGGGTTTGCATTTCCTTCCACCATAATTGTGAGTTTTCTGAGGCCTCCCCAGTCCTGTGGAACTGTGAGTCAATTAAACTTCTTTTCTTTATAAATTACCCAGTCTCCGGTGTTTCTTCATAGCAGCCTGAGAACAGACTAATGCAACCAGAAAACGAAATAGCACGTGTTCTCACTTATAAGTGGGAGCTAAATGATGAGAACACATGGACACACAGAGGGAAACAACACACACTGCGGCCTATCGGGGGGTGGAGAGTGGGAGGAGGGAGAGGATCAGGAACAATAACTAATGATTACTAGGCTTAATGCCTGGGTGATGAAATGATCAGTGGAGCAGAGCGCCATGACACACATTTACCTCTCTAACAAACCTGTGCATCCTGTACATGTACCCCTGAACTTAAAAGGGAAACACCCTGATGCAATAAAGATTATGACTGTATTATAAATTAAGAAAACAGGTAGGGTACAGTGTCTCAGGCCTGTAATCCCAGCACTTTGGGAGGTCCAGGCGGGTGGATCACTTCAGACCAAGAGTTCACGACCAGCGTGGCCAACATGATGAAACCCTGTCTCTAGTGAAAGTACGAAAATTAGCCCCGTTTGGTGGTGCACACCTGTAGTCCCGGCTACTGGGGAAACTGAGGCAAGAAAATCTCTTAAACCCAGGAGGTAGAGGTGGCCGTGAACTGAGATTGCACCAATGCACTCCAGCCTGGGAGACAGAGTGAGACTCTGTCTCAAAAATAAAAAAAAAACAAGAATGAAAGGAACAAAAGAAAGACTCTATATTATAATTTTGCATCATGTGGATGATGGGAGCGTCCTATGAGAGCAGCTCATGCCACGGTCACCACTGGCTCAGGCAATAAAGGCTTTGCCGCCCTTTAGCCACCACCAGCCTTGGCTGAAACTGTACAGAGGTGACCCGGAAATGAACCAGTGAGAGCCTCCCTGGGATGTTTAGCCTTGCAGATTGTGAAGAAAAATGGTGTGGCTCTTTCCCTGTTGATTGTTTGCTTTTTTTTAAAACAAAAAAAATCACGGTGATTTATTGATATGAATCCAGAGATTGTTGTGTACAAGCTTCTTGTGCCTTGTACCAAACTAAGAGAAGGATTGGCTTCCTAAAAGTTCAAGTAGATTTATAAAATTATCATTTGTAGAGGGGACTGTTCAGAAATCGTTTACTAGGCTTCTGTCATGGAGTTTACCACATAGGATGTTATCTAATAGCAACCATGAGATTCTTTGTCCTTCTTAATCGTGAACCAATTTATTAGGAGTAGAATAAGTAGTTTGTTAAAGATATTACGGGAAATAGGCCTGACAGCGTGACCTTTGAAATGACAGTTCATTCATGACCTTTATTTCTTCAGTTTTTCTTAATAAGCTTTTGTTGTTTAATCCTGCAACTGAATTTTACTTAAATTCATTTAAGGCATGTCTTTGCATATATTATCACAGGCTCTTGAAAGCTATCTTCTTTTTCTGAGACAGAGTCTCGCTCTGTCGCCAGGCACCAGGCTGGAGTGCAGTGGCGCGATCTTGGCTGACTGTAACCTCGCCCCCCCGGGTTCAAGCGATTCTCCTGCCTCAGCCTCCCGCGTAGCTGGGACTACAGACGTGCGCCACCACGTCCAGCTAATTTTTCTTTTGTATTTTAGTAGAGGTGGGGTTTCCCTATGTTGGCCAGGATGGTCTCCATCTCCTGACCTCGTGATCTGCCTGCCTCGGCCTCCCGAAGTGCTGGGATTACAGGCGTGAGCCATGAAAGCTATCTTTCTAAATTGAACATAGTTTTTATTTTTGGAATCAATTTCTCTTCCTCAGGGAGTTCCTAGGAGATTTAATACCTTAAATCTCCTAGGTATTTTAAATCTAATGTCTCTTAAACTTATTAGCCATTTACAGCTTCTGAGTTGTGATTTGTGGTTGCTGTTTTGTTTCCTTTTTTTTTTTTTTTTTTTTTTTTTTTTTTTTTTTTTTTTTTTTTTTTTTTTTTTTTTTTTTTT